CGTGGCATTGATTCCACAAGGTGCTGATAGGTAGACTGAGGTATCTGGTACCAAGCGCTCACCAACTGGCCCTGCAATTCCCTCACACAGCGAGGGGGTAGCGTGGCAGCACGAATTTGGTTTTCCAAGTAGGACCACAAATGCTCTATTGGGTTAAGGTCAAGTGAATTTGGGGACCAAGACATGACTTGAAAGTCACTGGAATGATCTTCGACGATTCGACCCTTATGGCATGGTGCATTATCCTGTTGGTAAACACCATCCCCCGCCGGAAAAACTGTTGACATGAATGGGTGAACCTGGTCTGCAACTATGTTCAAGTAGCTTACAGACGTCAGGGATTGTTTCTATAAGGATTATGGGTCCTAATGAGCCCCATGAAAACATTGTTCCTGGGCGAGTAACCATTAAAACCTGGGCGAACCCATTGTTATAGATGGAGGGTGGTCATAATGTAATGGCTCTTCGGTGTATAACACTTTTCGCAGTTCTTTCCCTACTCAATTTTTAAATTCTTTACGTAAATATGCTTAATTTCTTTATACTCTATATGCCTCGACGCTTGCAGAAATTCAACCTGTCACTTTTTAAAATATTTTCCTCCTATTCAATAACAATAATCACTTTATTATTTTCTTAATATTTCGGTTATATTTATTCTGGTGCAACTCTTTGCCATGACTATTATTCTTTCGGAAACCGATTAGTTACTTTCAGAAATTCCCTTAATATTATTTCCAGAGTTAGTGTTAATTAATTTACAAAAGTTAAGCACATTTGACTATGTGTACTTCGAAGTAACTGGTGTTTCAACACACAAATTTGGTATTACTCTGAAAATATTTTGCGCTACATTATTATGATCGAATTGATGATTATTACATTTTTAATTTGCATCATAATTCTTTTTTACATAACCCCAATCTTCCCCGTCTACAATTTTTTTATGTGCCTATATCACCACAATAAAACATTCCACATTACGATCTAAATTTTTTCCCAATACTGGGTTAATTCAATCCTCATAAGAAAAATTTTGAAACTGGCGAATGTTATTACAGAGCATAGATTGTGGATCATGCAGAAAGTAAGTAGATTGCAGATCAATTACAATCATCATAATAAATTTTTAGCTTATAAGAAGAAATTAGGTGTAAAGCAC